ACCGAAAAATTTCAGCCAAATCCGTATTACAGGTTCCCGCAATAATAGCTTCGTTCTTCTGGCGGCTTCTTTTGCCAGCCTGCGCACAGTGTCCGGGGTATTCGGGAAACTGTCGTGCAAAAATTGTATCACGTACACGCCTCTGCACAACTTTCATTAAACTCTGTCCAGGCTGCTGTACAGGGTGGCCAGGAGTTCGCGAAAAAAAGCCACGCGAAACTTCTCGCCCCACATCGAGCAGCTCGTTACTCGACTGAAAGCGATTAACATTCGACTAGGAATTATGTTTTGTTGGAAAATACGGTGTACGAAGTCGATTCATTCCGCAGGACAAAGGTGAACAGAGACAAAGGGATTTTTGAGTATTTGTTAATAATAATAATATAAGCCATAAAAAATTGGAAGCTTTTTGAAAATTTTGAAAAGCCATTGGTGTAGGTAAGTAGGGGTTCGGTACCTTCTAAGATTCTAAAATTCTAAGATTCTGAAATTTTAAAATTCTAAGATTCTAAAATTCTAAGCTTCTAAAATTAAGATTATCCTCTCGCATTAAATTTCGAACCTTTCGATTTTCCTCCTCCCATTGAAAGCAGCTGATCTCCCTTAGAAAAAAATCGTATTCTTGAAATGATTTTGATGTTAGATATTTTACTCCCGGTTCGCACAATAAATGGGCGATATCGAGCGAAGCGTAGCAGCAGGTCTAGCCGATAATCGTCCACTTCGCACCTTCACGAATTCGACAGGCAGTGGCTAGTGCCGTAAGTGGTCCCAGTCAATTGCTCAGGTGTAATTTTGTTCAGCACTGACTGGTTTGCTTTCAGCCATCGCTACGGGAAGCCTCTCTCTATGCGGAGTTTCCACTTTGTAGGCTACCTTCACGTGTGCCGACTAAAACTTGGATTAGTTTGCTTTCAGGTTCGAATGTCATTTAAACTGGCCACTCAGAACGGTGTTCCTCGCTCTTGGCTTCCTCCATCTACTTGAATCACGTACATCGCACGATATGCGGTTGACGTTACACTGATTACCGATAAATTAACGTGAAGTACACTTGTAGTTCCCGAGTAGGGTGTCAGCTGAACGTATCAGATCATTCCATGAATAATGTCATTCCCACGTACAATTTCAATATATCATAATAACAACTTAATTATCATATCAAATTGCTAATTCAGAAACATAGATATTCTGACGTGATTTCATGACATAAAAGTATTTCAAAATACCATATATAGCACATTAATATAAAGCTTAAAGATCATTAAACATGACTATATATTCGCTTCATTAATATTTTAAATATAAAATCAAAACAATGATCGGTTTAGAAATGCAAAAGATTCCCAAAAGAAAATGTATGATTTCATGACATAAAAGTATCTCAAAATAGTACTTGTAATAGATCAATTTAAAGCGTAAAATGTAATGAAAATAACTATATAAAGATTTTTTCGATATTCTTTATACAAAATGGCTGATTTTTCTTTGAAGCAAACAATATTATCCAGTTAATGAATATTAACATCACGAATTTTTTTTCTGTTATGTATTTTATTTTTTATCAGGTTAAATTCATATTTATATTCGAATTGAAACGTTAGAATATCAAATTTCAAGCAAACATCGTGAAAGTCAGCATTCTAAGGACCATGATTCCCATCGAAAGTGGAAACACCTTTCGCATACGTAACAGCGACACGGTAATAGGAAGAGAGACGGTTAGTTCGACTTGCCAGCGATGTTCTCGTCGTTTTGGCGGGGTTTCAAATTTTCTTACGATCCCACGATCTCTCTGTGCTACTATCGGCTTGCTTACGAGGCAATTTAAGTCGCCTCGCGGGATATTCGCGACATTTTCGCCGGATTTGCAAGCTTGTTACCAGGACTTCTCTCGGATATAATGCGATCCTGCTATAATTCCCTGTTCCAGTCTCGAGGACGTTCTGATTTCTTTTAAAATTACACGTCAACGTGGCTGGAAGTTCGGACATTCGTCGGCTGCCAAAAATAGTTTAAGCTAAACTTGCCATCGTCCTTCTACTCGCTTTCGAGAAGTTTTGATTTTCATTTCTATACATCGTTTGATTAATAACAAGTACGCTCTGAGTTCATACACCTTCTGACAGATGATTTTCTTCACATTTTTAAATTTACAAAATTTATTTCAAAGAAGGGGATGTAAAATTTAAATTGCATCAATTTAAAAACATAGCAGGGTATACGAAAGATTTAACATTATATTTTTAGATAAATGTAGAATTCTCAGTCTTATTTAAAATAAAATTCTCAATTTCTGATCTTTCAGACAAAGGAACAAGGTACAATTGATTTTAGGTAGAAGGATTCGTAGAGACGGGGTAACGAGGACAATGCAAAATTATAGAGCTCATTAAGACGTTGTTAGAGTTACTGTTTCCGCCTGTTTCAAAGGCAATCCGAGAACTTGCCAGCTTCTTATTAGATCCTGAAGGGACGTGTTTGTATCTCGTTAATTAAATGATAAACACGAAGCGGAGATCATTAAAAGCATACTGTGCTCTTTACGGGTATCCTAGACGTGAACATTGTTAATAATTAATAACGTCGGACGTTTTCATAAAACTATGGTAAATATTATCGCAACAATTAGGAAAGTGAGAAAATTCAACAATTGTAAAAATTTCTAAAATTGTTTACCGTATTAAAATTTTAAAGTTTCATTGGTTACATCTTTGAAAACATCTGGAATTATTCTTGTATTTTTTTGAAACCACAATAGTTCAAAATTCAACAGAGAAAAAACGAAAAGTGTATCCTATTCGAAATCGTAAAAGCCAGTGGTAAATATTTTTGAAACCGGATGGAACACGGTTAACACGATTATTATTCGATACACCACTGTATATGCATCGATTTTTCCATTGACTTTTTTGTCTGTCCGACTCTTGTTCATTCCCCACAATTGGTTGCAGCTAAAAGCACGACTATTTCATATATTTTAAACTATTAGCTCCTTTCTACGATCAAATGGATTAATAACACGCGTGATTTTCATTCTTTTCATTCACTGTTCCCTGTCAATTTCATTTCGTTTGAAAAAAAAGAAAAAAAAACATGCGTTCATCGTCGAACACATACGGTGAAAATTTGTTTCCGTTTTTTCCTCTAATTAATTGCATTCGTCGCCCTGACCGGCCTCTGAATTAAGCTTAATCCTATTTTTCAATGGACGAATCAAGCTCGATTGTGCCTTTAATGGGATAAATTAAATCGTGTCTGCTGTTTCGACGACCAGACGGATCTCGTTTAATTCTTTTTTTTTCCATCTTTTGTTACTTTTCAGCACGGTTAATAAAATCAGAATATGTACAGTAGTCGATCAGCAACAACGCACGATTCATTTATTATTTACACAGGGATTTGATGGATATTTTGCTTTAATGTAGAATTTTATTTCAGATAAAATATTTGAAATAAGCAGGCATAAATTAGTCGGTCCATTGTTTATTTCAACAAAGAATCAATTAATTTATTATACAAAAGTTCACTGAAAGATTATCTATCTATGTTATGGAATTTTTCTGAAATCCAAAGACCTTATTCAGAAGATGGATATAATGGAAAATAGTGGGATTCCTAAAATCATGAGTACTCTTCTGTTCAACGTATCTTAGTTCGTAAAAGTTCAACACTAGCGAGTCTCGGTCGTAGAAACCAATCTCGACGACCTCGGGTTCATGAAAATCAATTTCAACGACTTCCTTCGAGTCGTGGAAATCGATAGCGACGACCCATGGGTTATTCCAGTCCATACTTATGGTACCGAGTTAGAGATATAGATCTTAATGAGTCCCAAGTCGAGTAGACCAGTATCGATGACTTTCACTGCTTGAAACCGAATTTTATTGTACCTACTGCGACTTATGAAAACCCTTTAATATAACTTCGAAGCATTAATAATTTATTTGGATATGAAAAGCTCGTTCTATATACCTTGCAGATTTTAAATTCACCCTTTCATTTCCCTTATCAACTCTTAAATTTCAACTGTAAAATTTGTTGAATTATTAAACATTATTTGTATTAATATCTAGATAGAATTATTTGTAATTATAACATCTCTGTTAGCCAAAAATTTTTATATTCAGATGGAAAAAAAAGATATATTATATTTAATTAATCAATTTATATCAACTTCAGTTACCATAAAATTAAATAAAATAATTTCTGCATAAATGGTATTCATTTATTTTGGAAAAGTTTGAATTTTAACTTCCTAATTGTAGAAACTGCCCTTAGGGTATAGAATTGTCCAAACTTGCTACGGGGATGCAAAATCGCTCATTGTTCGTTTTATTAACCGAATCCTGTTTCTGTTATTGTGATTATTATTAATTACATTCGTGGCGCGAAGTTCGTTTAAAATAAATGAAGCTGCGGGGTCTGGCTTGGGCCGATCGTAACCGGTATGCAACGTTATTCATGGTAATTAAATGGCTCCCCGTTATTACCGTTTTCTGCTTCAACGCGGGTGTCCTGTTCGCCGTTCTAAACAACCACAATTTTCAGAATTTACGGGACACCGTTGGGAACCAGGGATACGACACTCCCAACCGGGGGGAACGATTAAAAAACTCTTTCGCTGAAACAGGAGACTGTGAAATAAGATAGGACGAATTCTTAGGTGTTTTATGAAGGGACGTTTAAACTGTTCAGATTTTCAGATAACTTGTAATAAATGGAAGAAGGAATTTGTAAAAGATATAGTGGAGATATTAATCTTTGATTACATGATTTTATATTAATAAAATAAAATTGTAAAATTCTAAAAGAATGTAATAGTAGAAAACTTCTGATAAACAGAAAAAAGAATTTGTAGAATTTTGTTTAATTTTGAAATGGAATACAGCATTTGAAATGTCAACTCTACTTTAAAAAATTAAAAAGCGAAAAAGCATTCGAGAAATTCGTATTTCGGAATGAAAATTCTATCGTCAGGCTTTTGTTACTTGCCAATGCAAGATGAAATGTTAACCTAAACGATGTGAAAAGAATAGAGGAAGATTTCTTTTGCTTTAAATTATTCGAGTGAAACATTCGTCATTGTAATCTTTGTGTAAATTGAAAAATTTTAGAATCAGTTCATAGTTAACGATAGGAAATATAAAAAATGATCAGATGGAGTCCCAGTGTAGACAGAAAGTCCCCGAGATTCTCCTTAACATTGTCAAAATTGACCCTCTTTCCACCGTTTGTACATAAAAATGATGAATCATTTTTTGAAACGACAAAGGAAAAGCCAAAGAAAACCCGTCGTGATCGCCGCCCACCCACTAAAAAGGAAACAATTTCCTTGGGTGATAATATTTCTACGTGTAAGAGTCATCTGGCAGAATCTTCCGCGAAAAATGACCCAGCAGAGTATGTTTTGTGCAAAGATGATTGCGGATGGAAGACAATGACGTGCAAAGAGCTTCATGATACAATTGAGGAGGAAACAAGTGCGTGTTTTATAAATATATATCCAGAGTGAATTTTATATTATTCTTTCTTATAATCTCTTTAATCTCTTAACTCTTTGAGGACGATAAATCCATATGCAAAATTAAATATGGCTCACATTCATTTTGGGGAAGGACCGATATTGACATGTACCATATATGTTATGATTCTACTCATTAAACAGAGTCGATTGACACAACTCTCGACATTTGACGAATAGATTATGAATTGTATAACTTTTATATCGATATCGATCCTTCCTCAAAGTGAATATCTACCTTAATTATAATGATTTAAAAATTCATATACACTATTGATAAATGCTTTCTTGGCACAAATAAAAATTGTAAATACAGACATTAGAAATTTACGATGTCTGTTTTGAAGCAAGAAAATGTTAAATAATTTAGAATAAGAAAATAATGCTGAATGTAAAATTAAATTTTACTTTTATAAAAATAATTTTAACCAGTGACTAACACTACAAATTTATTTTTGTCAAATAATTAAAAAACAAGATTATAAAATAATTTAAAATAATTTGAAATAGGAATTTAGAATATTTATTAAGAAATTGAATTGTTAATATTTTTAATATTTTATATTATAGTACGTTGCACTATATATGGCTATTTCCACTGTGACAGTTAATGTGATAAGCATTGTGATATGTTTTATAATTTCCTAGTAACTATAAACTGGAAGGAGTAATCCGTATTATCAAGATCCTCTTATAGTTAATATTGTTTGAAGCACTGATATTGTGTGCTTTAATATTGAAAGTACTTTCCTTCTGAATACAGCTTAAACTTGAAAGCCGTAAACAGTATTAACCATTTCATTACTAAGGGTGACTTACTATAGTAACTCGGTTCAAATTCAGAGATAATTAATACAGAAAAGAAGACCTTCCTATATTCTAAAATATCTATAAAATTTAGAAAATAGGAATGGAAACGAATTTAAAATTAAATTTAAATAAAAAATTATCACATACCAGGATATTCGATGAAATGGTAGCTGGGGTGATTCTGAACAACTTTTTCCTTCACCTGAATTATTAATTAAAAACACTGACCAATCAGAGCGCACATAGCACGCAGGCTGAATCACAGGAGTGTTGGCTACGAGAAGCGCTCTCGACCGCGGTCGCGAACAAACTACTCGTCGCGTCGGTTCGCAGCCGACACTGCCGAGGCTGCGCCTGCGTCTTATGCGCGCTCTAATTGGTCAGCGTTTTTAATTAATAAATCAAAAACTGTGCCTTAACGAGCATTTTGGTGAAGGAAAAAGTTGTTCAGCATCACTCCAGCTACAATTTTCCCAAAGGATGTCCACCCCCGCCCAACACCCTCCAAGGAAATCGAAGGTGTTACATATGCATATATACGTATGTAACTCGGCCAGTGAATATACTAAGGTAGAGTAACTGCAGAAATATAGCCTAATCTTATATTTCAATATACTTTAATATTTTAAAATTGAGAAATTATTGAAATTAAGAATTTCCTAAATAATAACTTGATTGAATATATGAGTTAATATACAATAAATATAAAATTGAAATTATTAAATGACCTATAACTTATAAATTGACAGGGATGTATAGACATATAAATATGTCTTCCACGGTCAAAGGTCTGTCACTGAGTCGATTATTGAGCCCAAAAGCCATGGTATTTATTTCATACGGTTCACGTGTCATGAATCGTCATCCGTTGATGTAACCATCGATCACATTTCATACGAGTTTTTTGGCCAGTCGATACGTACGACGATCACTCGATCGCCAGGGAGTTGAACGGGTTCGATTCGAACGTTTTGTTGAAACGCGATGATCCGTACATCGATCCATAAACGGAACTTCCATCGATAGTCGTTACTATGCACGAGTTTCGTTTCGATATCACACCAATATCTAACCATTTATTTCTTTTTTATAACCGTTTCGGTTTTTTTTTTTTTTTTTTTTTTTTCACGATTCGTCGCGAATCTGTGAAATTTTTATCATCGAATCGAGGTGAGAAGAACGATTATTGTTGTTGGATGTTAGGTTTAGAAACAAAATTATTATTGTAACATCAAATAAAGGTTTCAAATAGCATTTTAAATAATATAAAGATGTATAATTATTTCTAATCTAAATGTCAAAAGAATAGATTTTGAAAATATTTTTAATTTTTATTTTAAATACTATTTTACCCAGGAAATATATAAATTCAAACAAGATTTGATGACATAAAAGTATCTCAAAATAGCACTCATGGCATATCAATTTAAAGCTTACAGTTTCACATAAATGGCTACATAAAAGTTTCATTAATATTTCTGATACAAAGTGATTGGTTGCAATTTACAGCAAACAATGAACAATGTAGAGGCAAAGGTGTAGCATGTTACAAAGGGTGGTCAATATTGATTTTCGAGATACAGAGGTCATTAAGATTGACGTCCACGACCACAGGTCATCGAGGTTCCACTATTCGAGGACCGTCATTATGGATTTTGAGATTGGTTCCTATGGACCGCCATTGATTTCAGCAACTCGACAGTTATTAAGATTGACATTTGTGATCGAGCTCGTCAATATAGATTTCCATATTTCCATGTTTCAGAATTCACTGCTGAGACTGATGTCTACCAGTTCAAAGTTTTCTAATTCCTTTTAATATTCCAAAGTAATATTTTTGCAATAAATCCAAATTTTCGAAAATATATTAAAATTCTATTCTAAGACTTCAATAGCTAAAATTATAAAAAGAATTTTTAATGGTTGATGTAAAATCTTATCAAAGAGAAAATTCTTCATTACTCGTCTTTTAATAACGCAGCATTCAGTGATCCTCTTAGAAATGTCCTTTGTACCTGAGCGACGCCGAGATTTTCCGCTCAAGCTCACAATGCGGCACGATTTCAATTGTTTATCCATTGTTTATGTGTGGCAAAGTGATGCCAGCGTGTTTTTCTTGCCGTTGAAAACGGATTGCATCGTCGAGGTTCAATCGTCGCTGTGTACCCGCACAGCTTTCATTTTCGCTTTCAGAGAAATTTACGCGTGTCATTTTCGACATTCCTCACGAGGATCAGGAAGAAGAAGAGGAGTACGAGTTTGAGGATGAAACGGACCCTGACGAGGAAAAGGATGAAATGGGGTCGTGGGAGTTGGGTGAATGCGAAAGTTTTTCATCCCTTAGCGATAACGAAGAAGAACCGAACACCACAGATCCGTGCATGTCCCATGAATTGTAAGTATACATGGTAAAGCAAAAACCTCAACCTGTATACAATTAGATAAAATGGTGTTTAAATCAAATAATGACCCCATGATATCACTCGTTGGCGTAATCCCACTGTAGTTTCCTCAAAAATGTGGAATGCCCCCCTCATTATTTTAAAATTTTAATATCCTAATGTTCTATAATTCTAATATTCTAATGCTTTAATTTTCTATAACTCTAATATTCTATAATTCTATTATTCTACAATTCTAATATTCTATAATTCTAATATCGTATATCCTAAAATTTTTTCAATTTCTATCAAATAACCAGCTATAAAAAAACCCATTAGAAAATGCATAAAATAACGTTTACTAGGATTTGTCTTTAAAGGATAACGTTGGGAGATTTTCTCTATTCATCAGACTTCTTCACCAATTTCCGTCGAATCAGTAGAAATAGAAGCACCGATGTTTACTAATACCTTCCCTCTCTCGGAAGATTTTCTTTACCGACTAGCCAAGACGTAGCAACATCACGGCTATTTCACGACCAATTTCCGTCGGATCACCAGCTACCAAAAAGGCCAGCAAACTCAACGAAAGGCTCAAAGCCGCACCACTTTCCGTACGATCAGTTTGGTGTAATTGAACGAAACCATCGCAGTTACATTTCCCGCAATTTCCGGCCAGTCGTCGCCTACCAAAAGGTCTAACAAACCCCTCAGGATGGTTACCGTGATCTTTTCAAACTGGCTGGCTGACGTAAATGAACGGAAGCCACACGTTGATGATTCTCGTTTAACGACCGTCTCCTCTATTCGTGCTTTTCGTTTCGCTATACAACATGGAAAAGCTCGTTTCATGCGAGTAAATGATGCCGGATCCCTGGTAAATGAGTGGGATACTCCTTTCCGTTCAATTGTTCGGTTTTAGCTTTTGAAATTAATATTTATTTACGAGGGAAGTTATTCGGATATTGGATTAATTAAAAAAAAAAAAAAAAAAAAAAAAAAAAAAAAAATACAGAATGGAAGTTATAACACTCCGACTTCTAATAATTGAAATAAGTAGCAATTAAAATTTTTATAAATTTGCATTTCTTTTCTTCCAAATAAAATGGCAATAATTTCACCTTTTAATTATTCGTTTGTTTTTTAGGTACCTTCCATACTATAAGATACAAAGACCAAGATATTTTGAATCCACAAACACCGAGTCAGGAAATATTATCATTCGTTTGCCTAGAAGACCTCGATCTCCCATTAGGTCTGTAATTTTACTTATTATTCAATTAAATAATTAACAATTATCCCAACACTGATTTTCAGATACCTATTTATTAAAATATTCCTTGCGTTCTATTATACTACAATTATAAATTAATCACTCAACCTTGATAACTAATTTATTCATTTCTCATTAACCTCCCTACAAAAGTTATGGAGAATCAATCTTTCAAGTACCCCAAAATCCCAGAATCCGAAAGTTTCATTCGCAATATCGCTGACGAAACTGTTCTATCTTTTTGTAATGGATTTGAAATCGCAGACAAATTCTACCGGACAAGTTTGAACTGAAAAACGCTTACATGGAATGGGACCGGAAACGACGGGTCTCGGAGAGGAGAAAATACTTGGAGGAATCGAAAGAGCGCATTTCATATTCGATCGGACGTTTATCCATGGCACCAATCGACGAACGTACTCTGATCAGCTCTATGGTTCTTCAAATGGTTTGCGAACAGGTCACATTGACCCTGATGGATGTGGAGATTGATGTTGACGTTCAAACTTTCGTTAATATCGCTGCTGTCTGGGCATTGTCCGAGTTGGACATTTTTGATTATGGCGGGTTATTGGATGAAAGATATACTCAACCAGAAAACGCGAGGTTTTTCAATTGGAAACGTAAGCTTTTCACTGGCTGTCAGCCTCGTTCTATTATTAATATTTTCATTGCCACTTTAAAATACCAAATTAACTCTTCGCCGACACGGTTTGTTAAGTTCTAGGTGAAATTCTCATTTCTCAGAATTTGCTCTCCTGTTTTTATTTTTATTACAAGAGGTTTAAAAATTTCACTTAAATATCACTTGTAAGTTAAATTAAAAATTTTAATAAATATCTCACAATTTTGTCAGATATTTTTAAAACCTAGAACAATATAAAATCAGACCCGGAAATATAAGATCTATTCAGCCTGCCATGTTAATGAAAAAGGATATTATCACCGGAGGGTTAAGACAAACAAGTTTTTAATGATGTAATAAAATTAACCTTTCTTGACTGATTTTGTGTAGAACAAGATATTATCGATGTAATGGGAACTGGAGGGATGCGGAAGATCTTGATGGGAGCTTATAGACCACCGTTCAATCGCAACCTCTTCACGAATTTTCATCGTCGTTTACCTTGGCCTTCTGTGAGCCCGTCGCACGCACGAGGATACCCTAAGTTCTACCCGAATGTTCGTGAACGGATCGATGAGAAAACGAAAGGAAGCGAGGAAGCACCGTCCAAACTGACCCATGTGCCTAATTTGACTTGCTTCCATCTTAGAGAAGTTTTGGATAAATCTTACGTGGCGTATAGAAGAAAATCGAAATCCTTCTTCCTCAGATTCTTTTCTACTGAAGAGAAGAGTGATTTGTTTATACAGTTATTGAGTTTGATGTAATGGATCGATGAAATATATTTTCTATTTTTGTTGCTTATATATTATTGCAATTTAGTTCTATTTTTCTACTTTTTCAACTTTCTATTTTTCTAATTTTCTGTATTTAAAATTTCTATGAAATAGAAAACTGAGAGCGAAAATTTAAAAAATTAATTAATCAAAATAATTAATAACAATTTTCCTCGGGTCAAAATACGGTCCGAAATATAATTTCATACAACTGGTTCGTTTCATCTGCAGGAATCTAACGAATTATCGTTCGAAAGAAAGAAATTTTCTTCTTGCTGAGTATATCGTCGGATCGATCGGTCGGGCTATCGCGCGGAAGATTTAGCCGCTCGTTGTTTTTGGCTCCTTCTATTTCCTGTTCTTCCATTTTCCGGGCATTCGTCTTTGCTGCCGAAGCCACGTTTGTTGTTCGTGAAAATAACACAGAAACGTGGGGGCGCGGGAATAAGGCAAGTCAGTGGAATCGAATTCCGGGACAAACTTCCTTTTTCGGCTCGACTCGCTTTAAATCGTCCCCGAGCGGCTTCCACCTATTTTCCCAGTGTAAAAACCGTCCTTTGAGGCGGCCAGAAAAATCATCGTTACTTTATCGGCTCGTCTAATCGGCCGTAGCCGATCAATCGACCGGAAGCTATTGTAAAACACCCCGGTTAAGTGTTTTTAAGACAATTTTCGGAGATCATTAAAAAGCTGGTATTGCAAAAATTATCCAAATAATTCTATGGAAAATTTATATAAATTATAACAATATTTCAAGCAAAAGTATCAAATATTGAGTAATATTTTTTCTAGAGAAAAATTTGATTTATTAAATAATACTATCTTATTGTTAGTTCAGTCTTTATTCGAAGTCTAGAATTATCGACTACACTGTTCGAAACATTTAATTTCATTTAAAAAATTCGCGAACATATGTTCGTGAAATCGATATATCGAGTGAGCAGATGGAGAAATAGACAAATGGTCTAGAAATACGAGAATAAAATTGAGACGATGATTCCGAACACGAAGGACTATTTGTCAATCAGTCTAACTATCGATCCTGCACGCTACCGAGTCGAGGGTTCTCCACGTGATCTATTTCATCTTTTATCTCTTTGAAAAAGAGAAAAAATTCTCTTTCCCTTTGTTTCTCATTTTGTATGACTAATAAATGGCATATCCTTTAATACTTTTTTATGTAAATAAAATATTCCAAAGAATCTATTTGTGTAAAAAAGCTATGCAGTTTCATTCAGAACAAAAGTGCAATTGCACTTCTTTTAGTCTTATGCATTTTTCCTACCATAAAAATACGCCTGCTATTTGGAAGATCCATTATATATACAGAACCTTCCATTTTGAAAAAAATAATTTCTATGATTTAGAAAGAATCAACGAAGACGTTTATAAATAATGAAGAAAAGGTTATGAGAAAGGAGGAAGGATCGAGACACCTGTGAGCGTCCTTTGCACCGATAGATCCTGACGTAATTTCACCGCTGAATCAGCAACTGCTGCGGCTGAGCGGTTCGTGAAGTGGAAAGTCCATTAACCGACATCCTGTTGCCCCTTTTTTTTTCACTGCTCGCCTCTTCCATCGTCTACAACCTCCATTACGATAATACCGAGTCCTTGTAGTTCGACCTCGCGCCAGAGAAGATTAGGGACAACCCTTGGGTAATAGAATGCTTCTGGGAGAGCTTTTCGCGCGGTTCTCTATCAAACATCGCCGATACTCGAGATATTGAAAATTGAAAGGCTCTTCAAGAAGAAACGACTCCCACCTTAACGCGTTAATTCCAGACGATCCGTTTTACGAATTCTTTTAAAGGAATTTACTCCTAATAAGACTTGGACGTAAAGTCAGATACAATTTTATGACATAAAAGTTTCTCAAAATAGCACAAAATAAAGCTTAAAGATTGACGAAAATAATTATATAAGCGCCCCGTTAATGTGATTAATAGAAAATAATTAATTTCCAGTTAGAGCAAGCCTTGATTAATTTTGCTACGTATGAAGTTTAATACAATTTGATGACATAAAAGTTTCGTAAAATGGTACTTATAACACATTAATTTAGAACTTAAAGATTATTAAAAATGACTATATAAACTTGTCGTTAATATTTTTAGTATGAAATCATTGATTACAGATTGCAACGTACATCTAATTTGACAACATAGTAGGTCTTTTATTATAACTTGTAATTAGCCATTTTGTAACAACAAAGAGTTTATGTAACTCTTTGATATAATATAAATGCTATAAATGCTATTTTGAGATACTTCTGTCATAAAATTACATCTCACATCAGTTGGTATGCAACAACCTGATGTAATAACTTCTGTTGAGATATAATCATAACCTGTACATTGAAATTTCTGGGCAATTAAATGCCACAGTAATCCAAGGATTGCAATGTTTGGTATTTCAACGACTGTATTCCAGAAATTCTTGGTAATATACAGAGTTGATTGACTATAATCAACACAACCGAGCTATGCAAATTCTCCATAAACTGGCCGATTTCCAGGATGAATAAACTTGAGAAATAAGCGTTTAATTAAAAGAACCTCTGTACTCCTAGAAACTACAATATGTATCTTAATTAAAAATTCCTTTATCATACACCATTTAAAAAAAAAAATAAATTATAAAACAAGTAATATAGTTTCATATTATTTTTCAAATTACACGACAGAGCTTGATTATTCGTCTATTTTAAAAAGAACGAATTTTCTGCAGTAGATGAATGAACCTCCATGCTCGAGTGATTAAACACGACTAAAGTGTCAAGACAGTGACAAACCTGCCTCTATTATTCGAAACTGGATGCTAACCGAGTAGCGTGCATCGATCGTCCTCGGTAACAGGATTGATGGGTTAGATCCTTTACGGTTCGACTGAGGTGTTCCGGGACAGCAAGTAAATTCAAGGGCAACACCATCGAAACTGTTTCTCTCTCATAGTTAGAAACTTTCAAATGGACAATTTTTCAATTTCACTAGAATTTCCCTGGTACCTGCTGTGCCAAGCATTTTCCGACGCTTCCATTAACTGTTTAAAAGCTCGTCGTCCATTGTAGTCAGTTCAGAACCGAAACACGGTTATCAAGTAATAATTAATGGCTGTAGCTGATGTAATGAATTATTCTTGCACAAAAGATAACTTTAAACTTCATTAAACTTAACACTTTCGACACGACACATAAATTCTGGCATATAAAATTGTTTCAAAACTGTCATCCTCAATTTTGTTAAGGACTCAGATCTTTCTGTTCGTTTTGACAAAATCAAATTCTTCGAACCTCAAACCATACAGGAATAGTTTGATAAATATTCATAGCTGGATGATCGTCTCCCTGGTCGTCGTAAAATAACGGGGTCAAAGTTGAACGACACACAGCCACAGATTGAACCCTTTGATGGCAATCACGGTGGCTGACAGCGGGTCATTTAGCCCTTGAAGCAACGGAAGTCGATCGAATTGACAGGCTGTCTAGCAGTCCGTTGGAGGATTTTCTATCGCTAAAACTTGGCGGCCAACGTCAAAGGAACTCGACTAATATCGAGTGCAGGAGAGAAGGTGAATTTCTAGGTTACTGGCTTGGATCCAGTTTAAAATGCAAAGAACCAAGTGGTTCGTAGTAATCGGACATAAGAGCTTCGGGATATTTGATTGGAAGAAAGGGGTGAGTTGGACGAGTAAGTAGGAGAATTAGATTATGCTCGAATCGTGTGGGGGATGAAAGTGGGTTGCGTGAAAGGCGATCCTTCTTTCGGTGAACATTCAAGTTTCAATTTCTAATTTAAAGAATGCAACATTGACTTATAACACCGAGTCACATTCTATTTTACAATTTTAATTATAATTTGCACAGACAAAGGATTGCTGAATGACAAGTATGTGTGATATTTCAATTTTTTTATATTTCTTTTGAATAGTCAATTATCACTGATGCAACTCTCGAAAAAATCATAAGGAAAGGGGTTAACTTCTAATTCTCAAAAATATTTAAAAAATAAAGGCGATTCTTCATAATATTTTTTCCGAATTTGATACACGCATTTCAGCGATTTATCCGTGATACTAAAACTCAAACTCATGATTTGCTAATCAGCTTTCTACATCGTTTCGATAACAGGGATCAGCTGTTTACCCGTGGAATAATCGAGCTCTATTAGGCGAGTAGCCGGTTGCATCCCGAGATTCAACGGTGTATGCTTTCACGGTAACGTGTTACATTTTAATCCCGTATTACCAGCCAGACTGTACATCATAATCTCGGACCGAGCAGGTCCGGCTAAATGCATTGCACGTGTAATGGCGATGACTTCGTGGCTCGTCCGTTAACGCGCCTCGTAACTGGAACTAACTGTCGTAAAGCCAAGGTTGCTACTTAATTCCCTTCACGACCAGATCCTTCCTTTCACGCGATCGAAGATACGAATATTCCTGATCTTTAATAAATATGTATTGACTGATTCGAAAATAATTTAAACAAATTTTGATACTTCTTAAAAAACATGTGACATCTCAATATAGTTAAAAATATTCAAAGACTTAGAACAGCTGTAGTAACGATATTCAAGTTACAGGATTTCTAAATCACAGAGCTGTGAAAACGAGTAAATCTACTACCTTCCAAACGAAGTAACAAATTGTAAGGCGGCCAACTCTCTAGAAACAAAAGCGGAGATGGCTTGGTCCCTTGGAATCACAATAAACCTCGGTTTAGAAACTCGAAACCAAAGGAGCAGCGCACTAGGAAACATGAGGTGTACTGTGTTCTCGTTTAAAAACTAGAAACTCGATCATCCTAAATTTTGGTTCAACATGTCGCAAACATAGGTCGGCAAGTTTGGAAAGTCGATCCAATTTCCAGCCAACGAATCTCCGTTTCTATCCCCGTTGATTCCAAGTTCACGCTCTTATCTTAAACTTATCATTCCAGCGAAGAGAATCCGGTAAAGTTTAATGCACACCAAGATATACACGAAGAAGGAGGAAGCAACAGATTCCAGCTCACCCGATAACCACATAGC